AATCTTCATAATTTACATGTTGTGATTACACAGTTATACGAATAACATCGAAACCACATTATATTAACAGGCGTTTTTATTTTATTTTATGAAGCTATCCTATGTATCCTAATTAAAACGAATACATCCAAATTATATCACTTTAACAGATTAAGAGATATTTTCAAATGAATCAAATCCAAGTTGTTTCAACAGATCAGTTTTCATGAAGTTATCCTACGTTAACCGTCTTTATAGGAAGGAATACGTTTAACTTGTATTACTTTAGCACATTTGTGAAATATATTCTTTATAAAACATAGTGATTATATATTTATACGAACAAAATACGTGTTGTATCATCTTAGTAGTTTTCAATCTTTAAAGCTATGTACCTAAATTTACTATCTACCGGACAAATATGCAAGTTGTATTAACCACAACTGGACATAGTGTTTTAATTCTTTTTTTTTTCAGTTCACCTACATTTCGAAACGCACCTAACGGCAGGATAAATTAAGCCTTTTCTGTAGCATTTAATGATTCTAATAATCAGCATGCTTTTTTTATTATTAAAATCTTTCGAAATCTTCTTGTGTCACAGAGATATTGACCTTTGATTTGACCTCTTTACACTTCAATAGTTATAGCTTGTGTTTTTGTTCGTATTTTGTTGTCAATTTATACAAAAAAAAAAGTATCCACTACCTAGTAAGTCCGGAAATTAGCAAAACCTCAAGGTATCACTGTCAAACTGAATCAAGTTCTTGAATGCTCAATCACTGAAAAATCGAAATAACACATTATACACCTTGACCTTTGACCCGTGAATAATCGACAAGAGCCTATGGCTATTAAAGAAAAACTTCTTTAGGTGTGCTTTATTTCTTTTTTTACTCCGTCAGCTAGAATTTAGTTTTCCGAGTTGTTAAAACATAAATTGAAATAGGAAGTTATAGTCCGTGAAGGTATTCACCTTTGACTTATGACCAGCCAACAGAACTTTAGCTGTTAATAGAAGAATACTTGAATTTTATTCCATTAACTTGAGCTTACTGTTCCTGAATTGTTCAGTGATAAATTGGAATATTAAATCATACTTTCGTGGACAACTTGACCTTTGACCCGTGAAGAATCAATAGTCTGGTAATCTGTATTTCAAGCCCTTCGTCGATAATTCTGTGTTGGTCGGATGAGAAAACAAACATCGAGCCTAATTACAATGCAAGGAGACTTTAACCTATCACGTGAAAATTAATGGGCCTCTAACTGCTAATCTTTAAATCAATAACGAAAACTCAACAAACTACACCAGAGACCACTGGTGAATGACACCGGCATTCCTGAACTAGTCACGTACAAATCAATGGTCCGCATTATATCTCCTGCATTAAATGATAAGAGTGAGAACTAAACGGAAACTTATTACACAAACGGTGCCACTCAACGTTCAAACGGGGGGGGGGGTTGCCCCCCACAAAGGAAAGACAAAACTACGAACCTTTCTTTATTATTAAGCTGCATTTCCGTGATTATTGAATCTAATGTTTTAAAGTGTTCACCACACGTTATCGATGCACGTGTGGCACATAAGGGTCCTTCTGGTCAACACTCCTAAATTAAACATGGTTATTCCTGAGCATTGGGATCTCTCACTTGACCGTTTATCCCACGTGTCACATGAGATGCCGTTCTGGATGAAAACATCCAATATCCTATAATCGTTTACATGAAATACAATAGAATTAGATTCCGTAACATCTTTTTTCGGGGGTAGTAACAGATATACAACCAAAACATATCCAAACTCATTGCCAGCTACACACACACACATACATTAGTCTTTAAGTTGAAAATTAAGGACTGTTATCCTCGGGTAATCCTTTTGTAATTTTGCCCGAAATTCTGAAAAAGTAATGTATGTATGTATGTGAGGAAAGGCAGATAATCATCAGTACCCACCGCCAACTCCTGGCTGATCGAATACGGGGATTTGACCGTCACTCTTATAACACACCAACGGCCCCAATCACAGATCGAGTTTTTGCAGTATCGAGTTGTCGAACCATGAATCCTTGGATTCTCAATTCAGGCATACTACCTCTAGGCCACGCTCTGCCCGTATACATAGACTGAAAGTACAAGCACGTGATGTTAGTGACGCAAGTCAAATATGCCTTATTCTAAAACTGATGCATTAAGGAACACCTGAAAACCCACCAAGAAAGATTAACTTGATTGAGTCGCCTTATATATACATACATACATGTATACTGGATTATAAATATAAAATCATTTAAATCGCACTGAACATGGAAAAAAAACAAACTACTTTCACAACGTCTCCGTGGAAAATGAGATGAAGTTTAAAAAGGTCCGTCGTAACTGCTTAACTTGGAGATGTTCAGCAAAGCCTAAACCAATCTTGCAGCGCGGTACTAATCAGCTTATACAAATCCGAGTGACCAGAAAGTCCTAATCAGGCCGTCTCTCAGGTCTTGAGTGTCAGCAAAACCTTGGAGCTGCCAGTTTCCGAGTCAGGTATTTAGTTTCCAGTCTCCTTTCTGTCCTACAAGACACACGGATACGACTTAGTTAGTCAGATGAAATAATTCACTGTCCTCTGTTTCTTCTGTGTACAATAAATAAACGAATTGGAAGATGTGCAATTGGAAAATAAAATTTGCATTTAATGCTCCTGTTAGGGACGTCTTTTTTGTTCCAATATTGCGAGATTGATAGAATTGTTTGTCTGCCAGCGATCTCGGTGTTAGTAGCCTTATGGATCTTCATATTAACAAGGTGGAGATATTATTTAAATAAATAAAAGATTTTTCAGGATTTCGCGGAAGCGGATACGACACACGGATATATTAGCTTTTCCGATTAATTATGTTCAGCTAACTTAAGTTTGTAATCTTATTATTAAACGGTATTAAAAACTCCACGCGCATTGCAATTTGGCGGTAGACAAATCCTTACTTTTTTATTTCCAGAACAATATTTCACATAACCTATTAGATGTTATCATACCCTTTGTTACCATACCATTTGTTACTTTATCTGGTAAAGGGTATGGCAAAATATGCCCATAACTGCTACAACTAAGAGGCGTGGTACCGTGCACGTGCAGGATCTGTGGGAGGGGATCACAATTTCTCACTGACGTTTTTGACCATTGACTTTTCCAGCATCGTGGCCACCCTGCATGACAAATCAAGATTTATGGCGTAATTCATTCGTGTTAATGACCTGACCCGACCTTTTACTATTCATGACGTCACTTCAACGTCATGTAAACTATGAGTTTCTGGGCTATAGCCGTTTGGAAGTGATAGACTTTACTAAGGAGTTCGTAATCTGTAATTCCGGAGTCGAGAATTTTTAAGTTTTCTAGAAGTATCCGGTTGTTGTTATTCTCACGGATAGAAGGCTCGAGTTAGCTGAAGTTCCCACGTGCTCGACTCTGGAACCACAGATTACGAACTCTTTATTACAGAAAAACTCTCCGTTTTCAATGATCACCTAACACTAAATAATATTAATTTCTCTCTCTGTTGTCAGTAATGTAATCAATTCCGGATTCTCAGTGTTCTTATTTGATATTTAGTATTATTTTAAAGATACGGTGTTTATACTTACATTTAAGCCTTTCTCTATAATAGTTTCTCTCAACAATGTTACTTATTAAACGTGTTTGCTGCACGTTTTATCGTACATTCCATTATATTGTCACAGTTTAAATCTATTCTTTTCTAATACGAAAACTCGCTCAATGCTAATGTTGTCTTTTGTAGTTCGAATATCACGAACTAACATTTTTTTTGAGATATTAACGCGTATGTAGAATTACAAACTGACTTTTCTTTACGTTAAAATATTTTTATTGCGAGCTTTCGGCCCTCATACCCGAGTCTTCATCGTTTATGATTCTACGTTATGAGTCTTAAACAACTATATTAACGCTGATTATGGAATTTAAGGACATATCAAAACGTCCGTATTAAATATGTTTTTTTGTGTTATTACCGTGTTTTTTAATACCTATTATATATATTTATTGTAATTAAGCAAGACCGACTTGTGACTTACATACAATATTCGGTGCCACTAGCAACAATTAATTGTTTATAAAAACATTTACAGTCATTGACCAACACTGCCTCGTGAACAATATTTATTACCAATAGCAACAATGAGTTAGTTATAAATAACATTTATCATTGTTTAGTAACACCATTGTATAAACACATTTACTATCATTAAGGGGTATTTACTGTCACTAAACAAAATTTATTCACTGGAACGTCTTCATTACTGAGCATTATCTGTTTCTATATGCACGTAAGAGTCAAACTGATCGCAGTTTCAAGTCTAAATTATGGCTATTATGACAATACTTGAAATAGACTACGATCCCAGTTGATTTTTCTGTTGTTTGATAATGTTGGCACGTGCGGTTTCGCCTACGAAGAGTTAAACAGATAGAAAAAAACCTCATCGCTATCTATTGAAGCAGAGGACTGGACTAGGATCCTTGTGTTTGGTTACAACTGTTTATTTTAGAGCTGTCTACTCATTCCACCTTGTTTAGCTGTATCTCTGAGATAAGACATTCTAATGTAAATAGTGTGGACTACTCCAACATACGCAGATGCTAGCTAGTTGATTAACTCCGAGGAAAGAGGGCGCTCCTAAAACACCGTGTAAACAAAGATTTTCCTTTATATCCAGTGAGTAGAAAATTTATATAAATTAACAAAACTTCCAAAATGTGACCTGAATGTCAGAACATGTAATACCTAAAAGAGTAATATTGAGCTTTATACTCAAAACATGACATTCCCTGCCCCGAGAGACTCATCATACACTTTTGTAAAGTTTAATATTGGAACGTAGGTGTCTCCTAATATCCATTACAAAAGCAGTTTCCTTGATTGTTGATTCAACGATCACGGTTTACTAAAGCAGTCTGTTTTCCCTCGCGTCCAAGCTAAGCCTTGTGGGTAGTTCAATGTGGGCGAGTGGTTTATAAACTTCCAACAACTGTTGATTTATTCAATGTTGTTGTTGTTTTCTTTTCTTTTTTTTCTATTCTTAATAATCCAACCTTTAACTTACTATCTCCATACAATGCCATTCACCAAAGATGAATGTGTTATGAACCCCCTATGGATACATAAAACAATTACTACAATATACACTTAAGGCACGAACATACGCAATCTGTGGTCCAAGGATTGTTTGACTCAACTGTATAACAGTTTAAGTGCTAATAAACCCCGTGTATTTAGTATATTCATCCTTATCATTTATATCAAAGCTGTGTAAATTAAATCAGATCAATCACAGCTTGCTACTGATACCGTGTATTCGAATCACAGACACTACAGCGTGACCGTGTCACAGATTCGCGGGAAATTGTAATATACAACTTGAAAATAAGTCTTCACGGTGAATTACGTCACTTTTTATAAACAGATTATGCTAAAGTATAACTCGCTGACCAATGGTGAACCGAATGGTGGACTGGACTTCATATCTTTAGTAATTTAAACAGCTTTCTTGGTGAATAATGGTGAACCGAATGGTGGATCGGACTTCATATCTTTAGTAATTTAAACAGCTTTCTTGGTGAATAATGGTGAACCGAATGGTGGATCGGACTTCATATCTTTAGTAATTTAAACAGCTTTCCTGGTGAATAATGGTAAACCGAATGGTGGATCGGACTTCATATCTTTAGTAATTTAAACAGCTTTCTTGGTGAATATTTTAGAATGCAAATTAGTAGCGTTCTATATAAATATAGGTTCACCGTGGTGAGTAAAACACAACTGGTATAAATATAGGTTCACTGTGGTGAGTAAAACACATCTAGTATAAATATAGGTTCACCGTGGTGAGTAAAACACAACTCATAAATATAGGTTCACCGTGGTGAGTGAAACAACTGGTATAAATATAGGTTCACCGTGGTGAGTAAAACACAACTTATATAAATATAGGTTCACCGTGGTGAGTAAAACACAACTCGTATAAATATAGGTTCACCGTGGTGAGTAAAACACGAGTCAAAACAGCATAAAGTTACATGTCTTGCTAAAGAATACTTTCGACTAGTATGACTGACCGCTGTTGACCAAAGTCGAAGATAATCAGTATATCCAAAAACCACAGTCTAGAATGGTACATCCATAAGATGACACTTTCAAAGGTCTCATGGACTGTTATTTATAAGGTATCACTAAATAACTTTCAATAATAACTAATTCACGAATCCTTAACTGACATTTATTAAAACACAACATTTTTCTCCAACACACACACACAAACCAACACTGACTACTTGACAATGTTGTCACGTATAAAAGTGTAAAATGATGTCTAAAAGCGTGAATTACATCTAAACAAGGACTTCTTATCTATCACAATAAACGGAAGAATGATGAAGCTGGTATATTGACAGTGAAGAATTGAAAATGCGAGGGTTCCTAAAAACAAACCATCCATCAAATTGAGAGGAATTTTTTATGCTAATCAGGGCGAGAGTGTACAGCGGAAGCTATAGTTAGTTCGAGTTTCTGCCTGTAGGGGCATCTGTGTGGCTTGAAATGACGGTCTAACTACAACGTGATTATTGAACAAGCATTCTCATGTTTAGTAGATATTCGTTTTACCACGACTCAGGCTTCTATTTTACACTGGGTTCCGTGGTAGCATCGTGCTGTTTAAAAGATGGCAACACTAGAATTGGGGTTTTCAGCCTGGAAGACATCATATTCGCATGCACGCTAAACACCCAGGTTGTAGCTCTCCATAAATTTGAGCTTCTGACTATTGGGATAAAAGCCAGTCAACAACACCCGCCGCGACAAGGGTTTTGTCCGGCATTCTGAACCAAATAAAAGGATTAAGAGTAACTTTACAGTGCGCCCTTCGATCCGCAGCCCGACACGTTAACCACTTCGATCAGTTTAATATCAAATTCTTGGTCTCAAAATTTCGACCCGAGAAACCGAGTAATTCACCTGAGCTGGGTAAAGCTTTGCAAACATAACTAGAAACGAATGGCACTAACTATTAAAAACAAAACAAAAAACGTTCTTATAAGTCACACGTATGACAATTTAATTTCAATAATAAAATCTGAAAAGTTACAAGTAAAAATACACAGTGAGAGAGTAAAGTACCATCTCCACTTAATAAAAACGTAATAATAATAATAATTAAGGGACGGATCCAGAGGAGGGTGCAACATCCTTAAAGACACCAAACAAAGAAATCCTTAGACCTCAAAAAGAAAGAATTTTCTTTTCAAAAGGTGTCACACGACTAGGTGGAAGAACCCCCCCCCTCTATAAACAAAAAATCTGGAATCCATCCCCGAGATATCTATTGTATTGATGGAAATACATCATTAGTTAGAGCTCAACTGAGACCTCATCGTATTAAGAATAAACTAACCGCATGTTGTGAGAACAGATAAAACAGAAACCTCCCTCCCCCTCCCAGGTGGTGTTTTCTTGTGACTTTCTTTAGGAAATGGTTCACCATCTCCTAAGAAAA